GGGGGGTGATTTCTCGCTTTCTGTCTCTCTGTCTCTCTCTGTCTTTCTGACGAGCTCACAAGCCCTATAGCAAAAACGTCTCAAAAAAAAAAAAAAAAGACTAATTAAAAAAGACACACATGGTTCTTTGGTAAGACCAGACAGTGGGAATTTTAGAATGCCCACCTGTGGATCTCAAACTTGTTTTCATACCGAAATAAACTTATACTTTGATTCCATTTTCCCACCAACTTTAAAATAACCCCTCATAGATTAGAAGCTAGAGTGGACTGCACAGGTCTCCTTTCACACGTGGCTTCATCTGTGTGAATGTCAGGTCACAAGCCGGAACGCCCTGGTGGCGACAACCCCTCCCAAGGGCTGCGTGGGTCACTCAGCCTGACTCACCTGGGGTGAGGCGGGCGTTCTTCAGCACCAAGGACACGGGCTCTGGTTTGGGGGCAGGCACTATTTTGGGAGGCTGCTTGGGCCTCCCCCCAGTCAAGGAGACGGGCTTGGGGTGCACAAAAGTTAAATGGGGCTGGGGAGGCCCAACAGCTGGTGGTCGGGTGACAGGAGACAATGCTAGGCCACAGGGGGGCACTGATGGGGTGGGGTGGCGGGCGGTGAGCAGAAGGCCCTGGCTCTGGCTGAAGGTGGTGGCGGAGGCATCGTGGGTGAGGGTGGCAGAGGCTGTGTGGGTGATGACAGAGGGCGACTTGCTGACCCCAGTGACCTTCTGCGGCGGCAGGAAGGCAGAGGGAGCTGGGGGGGTTACGGCAGGGGCGGGAGGAGGAACTACTGGCAGGGCCGGGGGGACGGGTGCTGGGGCAGGGCTAGGGGGCAGCAAGGGCAGGGTGAAGACAGGAAGGAAGGGCTGGGAGACGCTCAGCGGCGACTCGGCAGGGCCCTGGCCTTCTGCAGGGCCCAGGGAGGCGGCCGTGGGTGTTGCTATGAGGCTGTCAGGAAGGTTCACGGTGGGGAGTGCGGTGGCCGGCAGGACGCTCTCCTGAGGAGGGAAGACACAGGCAAGGAACCAGTGCTGCCGGGAGACAGTCCACCTCCACCTGGACACCGGGCAGGCACCACGCCGCGCTCCATGGCCAGTGCTGATCAGGGGACGCGGCTCTGTGTCCCTGCGCACCCGCAGGGGTCTCGTTTCCTCCAGGACTGAGTAACAACCCAGCACTCATAGAGCCGCTGCCCACACAGTTGGACAGCGGCCGGGAGGATCTTGTTTCCAGAGTCCAGATGGGGTCTCCCTCAAGTCTCGGCCACCTTCCATCACGGAGCAGAGGCAGCCTGGATCGCAGCTGCTCAGGGTCACCAGGACAGCGTCAGGTGTCCGCTCTGGCTGGGCCACCTCTTCTAAATGGCAAAAGCTGACAAGTCAACCCATCTGTCTCCACAGAAGGAAAGCTTCCCAGCGTCAGGTGCCAGGTATCTAACTAGATGAGGGCTGGACGAGGGCGCCAGCCTGAGAGGCCCAGGGACACAGGGCTGGGCCAGGTCCAGCTCTGGAGCCCTAGCCCTGGTGACCAACTGTGACAGCTAAGTGACAAGTGAAGGCACTCTGCAGACCCCGTTCTCATCCGTGACACGGGCTTCCCCCTCTGCCTAGCCAGGTCTGCCTGACCCTGTCGGAACAGAGCTGGCTGCACGTGGGAGGAGTGGACGTCTCCCAGCCAGCTCACGCTGCGGACACGCAAGGACACGAGGGAGGAGGGCGGGCGGGCCGCAGCACCCACGCGTCAGCACCAGCTGCAGCGGTGCCCAGCTCTGCTTACTGCTGCACGGCGAGGTCCCTGCCCTCCCTCCCGTTCCCCGGCTTCCTCTACCTGAGCAGGTGGGCTGTTGGGATCGGGAGCTGGTGCTGAGGAAGGTGCAGGCAGCATGGAGCCAAAAATGGAGCGGCCTCTTTCAGAGAAGAGGTCTGAAAAACAATGGCAGGGCCCTGAGCACCGTGTGCCCCTCACTCCCTGAATCAAGAGCCCCGCAAATCAAGGACCGCCCCCACCCTGCTCAGAGGGAGGCCACAGCCAGCAGCACCCCAGCAGGAACGTCTTTATGAATCACACGTGTTGGCAACTAGCACAGGCTATGAGACACTCCAGGCCTGGCCTTTCACCTGCGTTCATGACGGCAGCAGCTCAAGGGCCCCTCTAACTGCAGGAGCCTCTGCTGGGAGGCGGCTGAGTCACTGGTGCCCTCTGCTGCTTACAAGAACTACTTACAGTCCCAGCCACCCTGGGCCACAAGCAGGCCTTCTGGGCATGCCCATGTCCTTCCACAGAACCCGACAAGCTTCCCAGACCTTGCAGTCAGTTCTGAAAAGCTTCAAGTCCCCCCCTCATGCCCATTCTAATAGCTCTCTAACAAGAAAGCACCAGTCTGTTCTGTGCGGGGAAGGGAGCGCCAGCAGCCACCCTCCCTCTGGCTCCGGTCCGGGACTCACCCTGGAAGGGTTCGAAGGTGTCCATGAAGTCCAGGTTGGGCTGCAGAGGGATCAGGCCCGGCTGGATCATGTCCGCGTTCCCCAGATGTGCTGCAGGAGTCAGAGAGGAGCCAGGCTGCCGTCTCGGCGCTGCAGGACCGTGCGCCGGCCCGGCCCCCGTTTACCATAGGGCTGCTCACCAGAAAGACAGACAGTGAGACAGAAAGTGAGACCCCCCCGCCACCCAGGGGGGATGGCCACGGACAATCCCTTCTCTTCCATTTTTCTCCTGGGATTCTGGGCACTCGGGCACATTTCGAGCTACTGGGTCCAAGCCTCCACGT